ACGAATTATTATTAGAAAATAACTGACTACTATAGTAGAAAATAACTAATTAGTAGTAGAAAGTAAATAATTATTAGTAAAAAGTAAATAATTATTAGTAGAAAATAAGGAATTATTATTAGAAACTAAGTAATAAATAATAGAAATTAATTAATTACTATAAGTAAATAAATGATTCATTTAGTTAACAAAAATTTTTAGTTCCATTAACATAAACTAAAACTGAATGTAACTAATAATTGGTTATTATTAACTATTTTATTAGTAAAACTAAAAATATTACTTTTCCAAAATTCAATTATTTTCTACAAATTTCAAACTAAACTTTATCTCCAAATTAATTAAAATTAATAATTTTCAAAATGTTCTTCGAGAATTAAATTATTTAAATTCAAAAATTCTATTTTTTATACTATTTTAAACTGTAACGGTCCATTTTTTTTTAATTAGTTATTGAGGTATAATATTTTTAAATATAAAAAAAGTCAGTAGTTAGTAGTCAGTTATATATATTTTTAAATTATAATAAAGAAATTCTTAAAAATAATTTTTAAAAAATATTTTTTAATAATTTTTGAAAGATAATATAGTTTTTTATTTATATACAACTTAAAAATTTCCAAACAATTGAAATTTGGTCAAATCTTTTAAAATAATTGAATTTTTGAAAAATATTTTAAAAATAAATCAAATTCTTAAAGAATTTTATTTTCTTTTGTTCGAAGATAATTGAATCTTAAATAATTATGATAAAACAAATAATTGAATTTTGGCAAAGAATTTTAGTACCTATTTTTAAAGTAATTGAAATCTTGAGGATAATTTAAAAAAAAAATTCTAATAAAAAATTTCTAATTAAAATTGAATTTCTGCAAAGAATTTTATTACGTTTGAAAATAATTGAATTTTTGTGATAAATTTTTTTTATTTTTGAAAATAATTGAATTTTACAAAGAATTTTCTAGAAATCAGAATTTTCTTATGAATTCTAAAAGTTTAATTTTTTCCAGTACTTTTAATACAAAAAAAAACCCTGAATTTTTCCTTTTCTCATATTATTTATATTGAATTTTAAAAAATTAAAATTAAAATTTTAATTTGAGAATCTCATTTCCTATAGAAAAATAATAATGATTAAATATTTATTTAAAAACGACGTTATTGGTGTTCTTTTTTAAAAATATTCTAATGTAAATTTTCGAAAATAATTGAACTTCTTAAATTGACCGACAGATTAGCTCGGTCGGATAAGTGCCTGGCTCGGTGGGCGGATCAAGGGTACTTGGTTCGCGCCCATTAGCCTGGGATTTTTCCGGCACGTGAGATAATCTGAGCGGGAGGTTTGACGTCGAAGTATAATGATGTGCACCGTCGATTATTGTCCGGTACACACCATTAGAATTCGACTGTCGATAAACCGGTTGTACTCGGAGAGGTTTTCTACAGTTTCCCTCTCCACTGGCGAGAAAACCCATTTAGACGGGTGGTCCAGGCAAATGCGAGTACTCCTAACCTCAAAGTCGTTCTGTAGAAACGCAAAATCAAGTTGGTATATAAGAGTGTGTGTTCTGACAGTTGGCCAAGCCTCAAGTCATTTAAGAAAAAAAAAAAAAAAAAAAAAAAAACTTCTTAAATTACACTTGAGGATGTTTCATTAAAATTTTTGAGAATTTAATTATTTTCAAAATTTGCAACAAAAATTCTTCAAAAGTTGATCATCGAAAATTGTAATAAAATACTTGAAAAAATCAATTATTTTCAATTAAATTTAACAAAAATTCAATCTTCTTAATTGTATATTTTGAAAATTTAATTAGAAAAATCATTCAAAATTAATTTTTTAAAAATTTGTCTATAGATATTTTTTATGCTATAAAAATCGAAATAATTTACATTTTATACCAACAGAAAAATATGTTTGAATTAAATATATTTTATAATTGAATTAAACGTAATTTTAATTGAATCAAACTTATTATGTATTGAATCAAAATTATTATGTTCAATATAAAACTAATTTTTGACTACAAAAATAATTTTTGACTACCAAAAATAATTTTTGTATTGTTTTATTATGTTTGATTCAAATATATTGTTTACTCAGCGTAAAGAATTCTATTATCAACATTTCAAAGAATAAAAAGTTGCATTTGAATAAAAATCACGCTTTTTTGTCGCATTAAAAATTAAAATATATTCGTTGAATTTTAGATTTAGTAAAATGTTACCCATAACAAATTTATAATTTTGTATTCAAATGCGTTATAAAAACTTGAAGACTTCTTTTTCAAATTTCCTTAAGTAAGAAAAATTTATAGAAATATTTATAAAGAAAAATATTTCCTTCTTTTGAACGTTAAAAATTTTTTCTCAAATCCATTATTTAAAAATCGAGTAATCCCCTAATATTTTGGAGTTTGTTAAAGTGAGGTCAGTGTTTTTAACTCGTTTTCACATGGTCTCTCCCCACCCCCACAAAGATTCTTATTCAGGTTTTAGAAATTCAAGACAATTTATTAGTAAAAAGAGAGAGAATGTTTCGAATTCTTTCGAGAGAGAGACCCGACACCGCCGGATCTTTAAACGCTTCTGTTTTTACATTGCGACTTTAAAAGCCACAGAAAACATGATCTTTTACAAATCAAACATAGAAAAGGAATGGACATCATTAAAATTATATTCCATCATCAAAATACCTTGTTATTAAAATTATCGAATTCTTCCCAAATTGACTCATAAAATAAACTGCGCAAGTTTGCGCTTCTTCACATGTATAAATATAAATATATTATACATTGATTATAAAATCATTGAATTATAATTATCCTCGCGTTAATAATATACAATTAATATTTAAATATGTTTAATTAGAAAAGAGGAAAACAAATCATAGAAATATATTTACCGCCAAAAATCAAATTTCTTAAGTTTTGTCCTTGACTTTTATATATTATACAACATGAGAAATACAGAAGTATCGAATTCCAATCACCTTCAAAATAAAATGGACAATGACTATATGTCAAATGATTTATGAATATAGAAGAAAAAGGAACCATTATGTATAATGTCATAATCTACGATTGTACCTGCCAGAAAAAGGAGATTGTGATTGATTATTCTTCGATAGGCGTTAATCTGATTTGCTTCGTCAGATTCGAAAAAATTTTCAAATGGAAAAAGTCCCTGAGATGCATCATCAAATAGACAAAATGAATAAATGATCTTTGAAAAATTGACAAATCAATTTGTATTTTTTTTTCTAATAAATGAACACTCGAAATTTATTTTTCTTTCATTGAAAATTAAATTAAGTTAAAAATAAAGACTAATTGTTAGTAAAATCTTAATTTAATTTTTGCTTCAACAATTGGTAATAATAACTAATTCAAAAAAAAAAAAAATAAAATAAATATTTCAGAAGCAGTAATAAATGTCATTTTTCGAAACAAATAACTATAAATAATTAAAAATTCACCTTTTAGTTTTATTGTTTAAATAAATAAAATAGATTTCTAATTTTAAAATAATAAATATAAATTTCAGATAAATTATACTTTTCACATCAGTAAAGTATTTTATACATGATAGGCTGAATTTATTATTCTTGTTTTGAAAATAAATTAAGATTTTAATTTATTTCTCTTTAATTTTAATAAAACTCTCAATAATTAATTTCTTTGATGTATTATACATATTATGCTCATGTGTGGAAAGCAAAAAAAAAGAATATAATTATATTTCAGTAAAAGTAGAATTTGAAAAAGCAATATACGGAAAATAATTTCTACATATATATATATATATATATATATATAGAGGTTTCTAAAAGCATTTTTTAATTACACATAACTCTTCTCTCTAACATCTCAAGAACATTTTAATATAAAAATTCATGAAATTAATTAGACCTTTTTGAATTAAGGACACAATCAAGGTCAAATTGCGACCAAGTGTTTTTTTCCCTCGTTTTATTAAAATTATAAGAATTATTTATTTTATTTATAATTTTATATAAAAAATAGACTACATTTTTATATAAAAATTTACTTTAAAAATAAAAAACATAACCTACAATAAAATAAATTTTGCATCTTTGTCCCTTTCTTCGCGACGCATCACAAATAGTATAAAATTTACTCTCTTTACTCTCTATTATTTTCAAGTGTAGAAAAAAATAATTCTGTATTGGATTGTTCCAAAAATATTTGTGTTAAGAACCCAGGCTTGGGTTTCAAACAAAAAAAAATGTTAAATTATGATATTACACTGAAAAAACGGGTGTCTTAAAAATGGGACAAAAGTTTACACTTTTTTTTTTACACTTTTGTCCCATTTTTAAGACACCCGTTTTTGGAGTGTAATTCTTTCTATTTTTAATGATTATTTTAATATAATTTTAACCAATTTATTATTATCAATCCTCCCGAGAATGTTAATACGAAAAAGCAACAGTAAAAATGAAAAGACAGCTGGTTTAAAATGGGACAAAAATCTACACTTTTGTCCCACTTTTAAAACACTCATTTTTTCAGTGCACTTTTTACTATTTTTAATGATTATTGTAATTAATTTTAGCCAATTTATCATTATTAATCCTCTTGAGAATGTTTTTAACCAATTTATGAATAACAATCCTCTTGAGAATGTTAAAATAAAAAAGTAAACGTAAGCACGTCTGGGTGTTAAACACCCAGAGTTTAAAATCATTATTAAACCACCAGTTTTTGCAGCGTTATCATAACTATTTGTAATGATTATTCTGACTAATTTCAACCTATTTATCATTAACAATCTTCTCGAGTAAAAATGAAAAAGTAAAAATGAAGAAAACTGTTGGTTTAAAAGTGGGACAAAAGTGTAGATAAAAGTCTACATTTTTGTCCCACTTTTAAACTACCCGTTTTTTACACCGGTCTTATTGTTTTTAATGATTTTAAAAATTAGGACAGTATAATCTAAACTAAAAGCAAGAGTAGAAAATGCAAAAAAAGACTCACCCTGTCGTACTGATGAGTGGACGATGAAGTCGAGAAGGGTTGAAAGGGCGCGGGCCTCGCAGGACTGTGATGGGCAGCATGAGGATTCCCATGTGAATGGGGGTGTGGGGCCGCATGGGGGTGGGTTGGGGGCGGCGGTGGCCTCTGATAGAGGTAAGGATAATATTGATACATAACCTCGGAACAGCTCATCACCCCCCCCGGGCCCGGCACCCCAGAGCCGGCCTGCCGACTTGTATATCCGTACGTTGCACCACCCGCGAAACCACCGTTTATTTCTTCCACACTCGTTATCTTTGCGAATTATCCCTTTGCTTCCTTTATTTTCCTCCTTTTCTTCTACAATCACTCAACGAATCACTATTTTTTATTCTTGCTCCAAAATTAATCTCTTTCCTATTCTTTCGAATCACTCAACGAATCACTATTTTTTACTGTTGCTCCAAAATTATCTCTTCTTCTTCTTTTGAATCACTCAAAGAATCACTATTTACTGTTGCTGTCTCCTTCTCTCCTTTTTCTATTTTGAATCACTCCTGCACTAGAATCACTATTTTCTTAATTCTTGCTCTTTTTTCTTTTTTGAATCACTCAACGAATCACTATTTTTTCTTCCTCCAAAATGGTGGCGTATGACAAAAATTATACAGCAGTGATAACGAAGGTTTGTTTTTTTTTCTCGCGATTTGTCGCTTGTGGGATAAGCGTAAATCAATGCATTATTTGTTGGAAAAATTCTGACAAAGACGAAAATTGTATTAAGGAAACCGAGCACTAAAACACATGGACTTGTTTACACACACAGTAGCATAAGTCTGTTATTGTTTCTTCTTTCCGCGAATCAAAACATTTTGATTTTCCTCGAAGTAAATTCGATTTCAGATTATCAACACAAACTGGAGTATGAACAGGTTTTTCCACGTGGTCTCTCTCTCTCTCTCTCTTTCTCTCCGATTCAACTTTAGAAAAATCAAGATTAAGATTCTGATTAACAAGAACTTAATCTTTAATGACACGATTAATTAAACATGTGGAGAAGAATTCGTGAGGCGTATAATCCAAAAAATAGAAAAGAACACGTTGATATCTTAATCCTACGATGATGTGTCTCTGGTAGGCAAACACAGACTGAACCCCAACTGGCTGTCACCCTGGTTGGTGTGTGGGTATCGCACGTTCTTTTTCTAGCGCGAGTTTCGAGGCGCGCGCTTTCTCTCTCTCTCTCTCGCTTGCCGTGTTGTCTTTTTAAGAACCTGGTCGAACTGCTATCCTGGTGAAGGTTGGGTTCGGTGAGTTTAGTATTTACCCGGAGGGCTCCACATGGGAACGCCTCCTGGTTGTGCCATTGTGAGCCAATCGGCTCGCAGAGAGTTCGCATCCAATGAAATGATGCTGCCACTCCTACGCCACCCGAGAGTTCTCTTCTGTATTGATCCCACAATGAACCCGAGGAGAGTTGTGCTCTGCTCATCGTCGCTTTCGTATTAAGAAGCGACTCTCTCTCTCTCTCTCTGTCTCTCTTGGGTTAAAACCATCCCACCTTTTCAAAAACACCCACTCAACCAAAAACTCATCCGGCCCTCTATATCCATGCCAGAAGTTTCGAGAGAAATAGAGAGAGAGAGAGTCTTCACCCACCCACCCACTCCCCCTTCACTTGCAGACCGAGCATATAATGAGTCTTAATTAACAGTTTCACCGTGTTTCGTGGAGCTTCATTTTCGGAGGCACACTGCTCCCAAACCTGACTTTTCCATGGAATTTATCGAGTTTTCCGCGGATGTTTCTTTTTTCTTCTTTTGCTTCTTTTTTCGCGGGAAAATCGTTTCAGAAAATCTTCTATATCTTTTTTTATCTTTTTTCTAGAGAATGTTGACGAGATCACAATCTGTGGGAAATCTTTTCAAAAGGAGTATACTGCTGGAATATAGAAGAGACATTTTTGTTAGGATAAAAGAATATTTTCGGTTTTTTTAAATAATTTAGTATGATACATGAAATTAAGATACTTCTATTTGCAGTGTAATATATATTTTGCATATAAATAATATATTGCACAAGTCTCCACATTATACACAAATTGAAAAATGTAAATATATCTTCGCGAATATAGTTTCATGGTATTTTTTTGTTTGTCCTTTTCTAATAAGAAACTGAAGGTAGATTTTAAAAAATTTGACAGTTAAGAAAGTTTACAGAAATTTTTCAAAAAAAAAAAAATTTTTAATTTAAAATTTAAAAAATAAATTCTACTTTTAGCAAAAAATACATTACTTTCGAAACGTTTAAAAAATTTAAGATGCTTTTAATCCAAAAGTAGTAAAAGTTATACAAAAAATGCTTTACCAGAAATATTTTACTAGAAAAGTAGTAAAAGTTATACTTTATATTTTTCTCCGTGTAATTATTTATAATTATTTTGGTCAAACGATCAATTTAATTTTTAAACTTTTACTTAGCACATTATTGAACAAAAATTTATTTACTGTTTCTAGATCGTTTAAGAATATACTGATTTTTTATTTAAATAAATAAGTTTCGACTGATTCGTACATCACGTTTACAAAGAAAAACAATCAACGTCTGACCAAAACTGATCATTACTACTGACACAAAAAATATTAACAATGTCTGACCGAAGCAAGCTTTACTACTGATAATAAAATTACAAAAATAAAAATATAACAAAATGCAAAAATATAAAAAGATTTTTCTTAGTAAATTTGTCTCTGAGCGATAATATTCACCAGTAAAAAAAAACGTCTCACTAAAAATCTCTTTTGCTTCTAGCTGAAAAAGTACAAAAAAGGATGTCTGATCGAAATTGACTTATACTACTGATTTTAAATTTAAATAAATAATAATAAGTTTCGATTAGTTTTTATCACGTGTACAAATAAAAACAATCGACGTCTGACTAAAAGTGCCTTTTCCTACTTACACAAAAATTTATAAAAATATGTCTGACCAAAACTGACTTCTACTACTGATTTTCAAATTTAAATAAATAATAATAATTTTCGATTAGTTTGTATCGCATATATAAATAATTTCGAATAAAAATGCTTTTTACTACTAACACAAAAATTTATAAACAAATGTCTGACCGAAACCAAGCTTTACTACTGCGATAAAAAATACAAAAATTTACAAAATTATAGAAATATAATAAATTGTCTCTTTTAGAATTTTTCTCTTACTGATAATATTATAATATCCACCACTAAAAATAACGTCTGACTAAAAATATCTTTTACTACTAGTTCAAAAAATAAAAAACTATGTCTGAGCTAAAACTGACTTGTACTACTGATTTTTAATCTAAATAAATAAGTTCCGACTGGTTCGTATCACGTCTACAAATAAAATCAATCGACGTCTGATCACAACTGATTGCTACTACTGCCACAAAAAATTATAAACAATGTCTCACCGTAACTGACTTGTACTACTGATTTTCAAATTTAAATAAATAATAATAATAAATTTCGATTAGTTTGTATCATATGTATATAAACAATTTTAATCGACGTCTGACTAAAACTGCTTTTTACTACTTACAAAAAAATTTATAAACAATGTCTGACCAAAACTGATTATTAACTACTGACACGAAAAATTATAAACAATGTCTGACCGAAACTGACTTGTACTACTGATACCACAATAATTAATACCGTGTGAAGAAAAACGAAAAAAAATTTAACTATTAAAGATAAAAATTAAGTAAAAATAGTCAGTGATACAAAACTAACTTAGAAGTTATATTATAGAAAGTTAGAACAAATTAATCACATTTCACTATAATCAAAATTGGAAGAAGTTCATGAACTTACTAACAATTAGTAAAATTTCACTATTTGTTGAAATATTTTACTAATTAGAGAATATATAAATGGTAATTTAATTGTAAAATATAAAAATTATAAAAATTATACCTATATATAGCTAAAAAATTACAGACTGACAAAAATAAAAATCGAAAAAGGAACTCTATGGAAAATATTTAATAAATAATAATTGATGAGCATTACGTCTGTAAATTCATGAATGAAATACAAGAAGCACAATTCATGGGGGTAAATATTTGATAAACAATATAATGACAATGATTTTTCCTTTATACGCATAAATATATCAAAAGTCCCTCCACTCTCCAGAGTTCATCCGAGTGCAACCCCTTGACGAATCTTTGAATGAGGGTTCTTTTCCGCAGCATATTTCAGTGATCGTCTCTCGCTCCTATTTATCCGTGGCACCCCCATTGGCAATATCACTGACAAATTTAATGCCCAACTATTAGCAGCGGGGTGTATGCGACCTTATATAGTCCATTGTCAAGTGGCCACGTGCGCGATGACTATACCCTGCCTCCTCTCTTACATCTTTTTTCTTTTTTCTTTTTTTCTATCAAGTCGAGGTTACGAATATATATATACATCGGGGGGTGCAAAAAGAATTTCGTGCTCCACGAAGGGGGATATATTGGATTTGGCTGACACCACTGTTTGAGGACCTGCTATAGATTACACATGAGATTAAGCACTGGTGACATTAGATGACAATTTGATACGGTCAAGTGTTTCCTATATCATTATTTCTAACACGCGATATCTCTACACAGTGAGTCGAATTTTCTAAACGGGAGGATTAGTTTATTGAATCTCTCGCCCTTTAATTCTTCATCATACCAAAATACTAAATACAGTCAATTTTTTCATTGTCAATTTTTTTTTATTAATGGAAATTCTTTCATTAATAATATTCTTTTTGCTTTTGAATTAGTAAATTTTACTAATCAATTAGTAGATCAAAATTGATTAATGGATTGATTAGTGGATCAAATTAATGTCAAAAAATTTGAATCAATTTTTGATTTGATCCACATTTTTGGTATCAATTCGATGCAATTTAATATTTTTAAGTTAACAGTGTATTTATTAGTAAAATTTACAAATTCGAAATTTAACTTTTTCCCTGACCCTAAAGAATATTCTGACTCAATCTAAAAAAAATTAGATACTCAAAAAAAATTATTCTATCAAAATTCTTCGCGAAACTTAATTATTTTCATAAAAATAAGAAAACTCATCGTATAATTTCTATTATATTCATACAATTTAAATCAAATTTCTCGAAAAATGTAATTTTTTAAAAAAAATTTATTAAAATTCAAGAAAATAATTCAATTATTTAAAAATTCAATTATTCAATTATTTTCAAAGAAGTTTCTTATTTCAATAATATTCAATATATTTTCCAAAAAATTCAATTATATAAAAAAATTTTAACAAAATTTTACGCAAATATTTCATAAATAATAAAAATTTCTTCGCAATAATTTAATTATTTTTATAAATAATAAAATTTTAAGCAACGTTTAAATTATTTTCATAGAATTTTAATTAAATTCCTCGAAATATGTAATTTTTCCTATAAATTTTATTAAAATTCAATAAAAGAATTCAATTATTTAAAAATTTGTTAATAAAATTCTTTATGAGAATTAAATTTTTTTAATCTTTGTAAATAGCAAAATTCTTCGCGAAATTTAATTATTTTTAAAAATAATACAACCCATCGTAGAATTTTAATTATTTTCATAAAATTTTAATCAAATTCGTCGAAAAATGAAATTTTTCTGAAAAATTTCATTAAAATTCAACAAAAGAATTTAATTATTTCCAAAAAAATTTTTTATTTCAATGATGATTAATAATCTACGCTATTTTAATAAAAATTTTCAAATAGAATTAATTTATTTCAACAAAATTTTAATAAAATTTTACGCAAACATTTAATTATTTTTCATAAATAATAAAAATTTCACAGGAATTCAATTATTTACAAATTTTTTATAAATTTCTTTACAATAATTCAATTATATTCATAAACATTAAAATATTTTACATGGTTTTAATTAAATTTTTAAATTTTTTTGAAATTGATTTATTGTCGTTAATAATAAAACTCATCGCAAAATTTTAATTATTTATTCTTTATTAAATAATTTCAATTTTACTTATTTATTTTATTATTATTGATTTTTAAAAATTACATATTTCGGGGAATTTGGTTAAAATTGTATAAAAATAATTGAAGCCTTCTTAAAAAAAATTTATTATTTATGAAAATAATTGAATTATTGCGAAGAATTTTATAGAAATTTAGTAAATAATTGAATTCCTACGAAATTTTTCTTATTTACAAAAAATACTTAAATTTTTACGTAAAATTTTATTAAAAATATATAGTAGATATTAAAAATCATTGAATTAATTAGGACAATTTTTTAAAATCATTGAATTTAGGAGAAGAATATTTTATTACTTATAAAAATAATTGAAATTTTGACGAGAATTTTTTTTTTAAATTTACATAGGAAATTTTGCTACTGGCTCAAAAAATATGAAACGATGTCTGATCGAAATTGACTTGTACTACTGATTTTTTAATTTAAATAAATAAGTTTCGACAGGTTTGTATCACGTCTACAAATAAAAACAATCGACGTCTGACAAAAACTGATTGTTACTACTTCCACAAAAATTATATACAATGTCTGACCGAAATTGACTTGTACTACTGATTTTCAAATTTAAATAAATAATAATAAGTTTCGATTAGTTTGTATCGCTGGTGTAAAAAATTTTAATCGATGTATGGCTAAAACTGCTTTTTACTACTTAAAAAAAAATTTATAAACAATGTCTGACCGAAACCGAGCTTTACTAGGTACTGCTATAAAAAATACAAAAATTTACCAAATTACAGAAATGTAAAAAATTTTCTCTTGTAGAATATTTCTCTTAGTGATAATATATAATATCCACCACTAAAAATAACGTCTGACTAGAAATATCTTTTACTACTGTCTCAAAACATAAAAAACGATGTCTGAACAAAACTGACTTGTACTACTGATTGTTAGTTTCAATAAATTAGAAATTTCGACAGGTTTATATCACAAGTATTTAAATAAAAACAATTGATGTCTGACCAAAACTGATTATTACTACTGACAGAAAAAATTATTAAAAATGTCTGACCGAACTGACTTGTACTACTTATACTACAATAATAATAAACTAAATAATAAATACCTGGGAGGAAAAACGAAAAGAAATTTATAACCAAGTACGAAAAGTAAAATTAATTAAAAGTAGTCTGACACTAACTGTCTTTAACTACTGATACAAGACTATAACTAAAAAACTATAAAATAAAAGTCCAAAATCGAATTAATTATTTAATAATTAATATACAAGAAAATGTTATAATTTACATACATTTTCGTACAAACTGTATAAACAGAAGCGAAACTAGAATTAAAAACAAAAGCCTCAATATTCGAAATGAAAGTTTAAAACACTAAACTTCAAAGGAAGTTTTTCATGAAACGAAAATTGATTGATTCAGGGGAGAGTCAAAGGAGGAATTGGTCCATTTCGCCTTGCGGGAAGAAGTCTCTTTTTTGACAGACCGGCATCAGTCTCTCACGGAGAGGAGTCCCACGAACAGTGTAACGGACGCGAACCGCGAGGAATGTTGAAATAGCAAATTAGGAAATTCCTTAAGATCTTTTCCACCCTATCGTCTTTTTTTTCTCCCTGGCTATATACAAACCTTCGTGTTGTCACTCTCTTCCAATGTAAAGCACGCATAGAAAGTCATTTAACGAGATTATCCCACACTTTTTTTTTAATAATAATTTTAAAAAAGTTTGTTTTTTTTACTATAATATTATACATTTACAGTTTTAATTATCAAAATATTATACCTACCTATTATCATACCTACCAACCTTTAAATTATCCCCCTACCTTTTATGTTCACTATTCACAAGTATTCGAAATTATAAATGTTATGAAATATAAATAATAAAATTTACCTCCAAAAATGTTGAATAACTCCTAAGGATTATCGAATCAAAATAAAGAACGAAGAAATAGGAAAAAATCTATGAATTCAAGGAAGGAAAAGTTAGGATACTATCGAAACCATAGAACCACTGATGATAAAATATACAGCTTTATATTTGAAAAGCTTTTACAGAACCTAACACGCCTCATGTATTTTCGAAGATGGACATTCGTTAACATTCGTTATTTTGTAATTCCAATTCATATTCATCCCAAAAAGGCTTAGAATTTACAATCGATTGTGTTCACTATATTTTTGACTCAGATTTAAAACTATGTCCTAGCATGCTCAGAAATACTTCTTCTAACAACTCTCACTGCCCAATCAGATAAATAGCGTCACATTTTTTTTTTTAATGGGTAAATTTAAGTTCCAAAAATACTGAACGTTCAAATAAAGTATTTTTTTACCAGTCTCAGACAGGTTCGTATTTTTTAAGAGGCCTCGGACTGAATAAAAATAGGATTTGAATTTTAAAAATAAATATAAATTTTCCTTTATTTAAACGTTCAATACTTTAGAGATATGTAGTTTTTTCAATTAATATACTGGAGGTAAAATAATTACCAGATTTTATGGTTCAATTTTTTTTTCAGCTAAAAAAATTGACATATTTTTATGTATTAATTTTCAAACTGAAAAAAAAATTATTCGATTGAAATAAACAATTACTATTATTAAATAAATTTTGACGCTCTCACAAATACATGAGAAGCAAAAAAATTTAGTTTTATATTTTTTCAAGTAAAAATCCGAGAAGAGAATAAATTACCGCAATTAAAAAATTATCGACTTTCAATTCTTTATTACATTCGAAATATTCCATAAAATGTTTTCAAAACGTATTCAAACAGAAACTTCGAACGAAGGAAAATCTACCAAAAACATAAAATTCGTTTGCTTCTTAAGTACCTATTTTTTTTGTAAACGCGTCACAATTATCTACTTGGATCAAAATTATTTAATTAATTAATTAATCAAATCTCTGTCATAATAAAGTTGAAAAATTATTTCTCTCCAAATATTTATTTTTCACACCAAAAAAAATAGTGGGAAAAGATTATTTTCTAAAAAAAATACCAAACAATACTTATAAGATTTAAATAAACTCAATATAAATTTGTAAAAGTAAAGAATAATAAAAATTATTATTTTCCATAAAAAAATGTCTTCCCTAAGAAAAATTAGAAAAATAATTGCTTAGAATTTTATGAAAAATTGGAATGAAATTTGAAATTGAAAGAAATTAAAAAATAAAGTGAAAAAAGTGAAAATATAAAAAGGTAAAAATGTGAGTTTATGAAGAAAAGGAATAAGATCACTTTCGACTTATTTACACATTCATACTCATAATCATTATAATTAAACTATTTATGTACAACGCCATTCTTTTCTACAACAATCAATTTTCTAACTTTTTTTTTTGCTCTTAAACACTAAATCGACGTATCTTGGAAATTTAATTTATAATATTAATTTTACAAGTCTCGCTTGCAGTAATAATTGACTAAAAAATACTCTAATTTTCATGAAAATATTGACTCATTAACAATTATATAAAAATAAAATTCATTATTTTTATTATCTGACTCGGAGTGATTGATCGAAATTAAAAAATATAATTGTTATCGAGTATCATAATTATAATATTAATAATAATAGTAGAACTATAGAGTCATTGAGTCTATTTAAATCGAAGATTAAATAGTTGTTTTTATAAACGTAGAGTTACTTACTTTAATCGAAAACTTCTTCCATTATCAAAAAAAAACCATTGACTATAGATTTTCCACCTCTGTTGCACTTGTTTTTGTTTCCCTATTCATTGATGTTTCACTTTTCTCCTCGTTTTCACCAGTTTCCATCTTTTTTTCCAAATTCTCAATTTTCTTTCCCTCCACTTTTTCATCTTCATCCTCTAAATATTTGTCCCATTTTTCAATTCTCGCCTCGATCTCGGCCTCGGTTTCGACAACTCTGAAAAAAGAGAAAAAAAATAAAATTAGTTTTTTTCTAATAAAATAATTTAAATAAATTGAAGATGAAAATAAAAATTCGGAGAGAATTTTTCGATTTGAAAAAATTTGGATAAAGCAGATTTCTTCGATGTGTCGAAATTTCTACTCTACCAGTAAATGAAAATGAGGCTCTCAAAATAATAGTAAAAATAAAGTTAAAAGAAAATTAATAAAGTGGAAAAAACATGAATACTAAGATAATAGTTAAAAATAAAATAATAAAAAAATTAAATGTTCGATCTAATATTGATATTTGAATTGAAGTTTGATTTAAAATATTTGAATTAAAGTTCTACTTTATCAAAGAGAGAGATTCGCTGCGCCGAAAATCGGTAAAGAAGAGAACTAACTTGTATTTTGTTTTTCCGTCCCAAATTTCTGCAGTTATCTTCCTTTGACCGAACCAACGGCCGTTTAGTAACTGCACGCACCCTTGAGCCTCTTCTGGTTCCTTAAAAGTAACTTGAGCAACTCCCTCAGGATGTCTCTATATGAATGAAAATTTATACAAAAATTAAAAAAGTTCACTTATAAATATTTACGAAAGAATTCAATTATTTTTCAAAATTTCTCAAAAGAATTCAATTATTTTTTTAAATTTATGAATTAAATTCTTCGAAACTATTCAATTATTTTTCAAAATTTACCAAAACAATTCAATTATTTTCTAAAAATTAACAAAATTCTTCGACACCATTTAATTATTTTTATAAATATAAATAGTAAAATTCTTCTCAGGAATTCAATTATTTTTAAAACTTATTATAAGAAAATTTTTTTTATGCATTCAATTATTCGCAAAAATTTTAATAAATTTTTTTTTATAAAAATTCAATTATTTTCAGTACACAATTTTTAGAAAATTTCTAGAAAAAATTCATACTTTTTCGAAAATTGTTATGAAATTCTGTAAAGAATTCAATTGAAAGAAATTTTTCAAAATTTTTCATAAAATTCCTTTAATTGCAAAATTTTTAATTCAAAATATTTTTAAAAATCTCCATTTTTTTATATTTTTAAAAAATTGAAAGAAATTATTCAAAATAAATGAATTATTTTCAAAAATTCAAATAAATTTCATTTGCAAGAATTCAATTATTTTCAAAAATTTAAATAAATTCTCGTCAACACTTCAATTATCTTTATAAATTGCAAAATTTTTCGCTGAAATTCAATTATATTCAGGAATTTTTATAAAATTCATTTCAAAATTCAATTATTTTCATAAATAACAATATTCATCAGAAGAATTCAATTATTTTCAAAATTAATAAAATTCTTCGCAAAAATTCAATTATTTTGAAAAAATCTAAAAAAAATCAACATTTCAATTATCTTTATAAAAGAATAGCAAAATTCTTCGACAAAATTCAATGATTTTCAGGAATTTTAATAAAATTCATTGAAAAATTCAATTATTTAACTTATAAATAAAAATATTCATCACAAGAATTCAATTATTTTTAAAATTTCTAAAATTCTTCGCAGAAATTCAATTATTTTCAAAAAATCAAAATAAAATTGTCGTTAACATTTCAATTATCTTTATAAATGAATAGCAAAAATCATTGCAAAATTAAATTATTTTTAAAAATAATAAAATTCTTCGAATAAATTCAATTATTTAATTGATAAATAAAAATATTCATCACAAGAATTCAATTATTTTTAAAATTAATAAAATTCTTCGCAGAAATTCAATTATTTTCAAAAAATCAAAATAAAATTGTCGTTAACATTTCAATTATCTTTATAAATGAATAGCAAAATTCATTGCAAAATTAAATTATTTTTATAAATAATAAAATTCTTGGAATAAATTAAATTATTCTCAAATTATTTTAAAAAATTTGTTGCTAGAAATTAATGATTTTCAATACATTAATTTTAAAATTCAAAAAATTTACAGAAAAAATTATTTTTTTATAACAAATTTAATTGGTTTAAATAAAACATTTTTTATTATCAAACAAATATTTATTCATAACAAATAATTTTTAACTAAGTCAATTGAAAATGGTACTTAAAAAAAATTAAAAAATTCTTTAAATTCTGAAATTATTGATTCGAATACAATTCTTGATTTAAATAAAAATTATTTGATTCAAGTAAATAGGTATTTTCTTAAGTAATAATTTATAGATTAAATAACCCAAATAAATTTGTATTACAAATTTTATATTTTGAAAATATTAATTATTCTCATTAATTATTAATTAAAATTGATAGAATTGATAGAAATAATTAATAATTAATAATTAGGTAATAAATAGTAATTGCTACTAATTTCTTCGTAAAAGTTACAAATAATTTTTTGTAAATTAAATTACTATTTGTAAATTTACTAATACAAAAGCAAGCAGTATTGAATTAGTTTGAATTAGCAAATTTAACTAATAAATAGTAATCTGTCTTAATTTACTAATTCAAAAGCAAAAAGTATTGAATTAGTAAATTTTACTAATAAATAAAAATTACTACTAATTTTTTCGTAATAACTACAAATCATTTTTTGTAAATTAAATTACAATTAGTAAATTTACTAATTCAAAATGAAAAACTAATTAATTAGTTAAAATTAGTAAATTCTACTAATAAATAGTAATCTCTCTTAATTTACTGTAATTCTAAAGCAAAAAGAATTATAAATTTTATTAATAAATACTAATTTCTATTAATTTAGAAGTAAATTTTACTAATAAATAGTCATTTTTACCAATTTAGAAGTAAATTTTACTAATAAATAGTAATTTCTACTAATTTAGAAGTAAATTTTACTAATAAATAATTAATAACTAATTTAAATTAATTAATTAATAATTTTACTAATAAATAGTAATTTCTACGAATTTAGTAGTAAAATCAACTAATTCAAATTTAAAGAGTATACTCGGAATAATAAACGCAGTAGATAGAAATTTATTCTTCCAAATAAACCTTATTAGTCGAATTTATTTGCAGAAAGGTACCGGCACACGAAATGCAAATAAATTACTTAAAGGGTATGACCTGACACTATAAATCTGCAGTAAGACACTCCCTATTCTGGAGTGGTTCAACCGTGAATTCATCCAATGTCAAAAGAAATTTCATCGTCTTCATGTTTTTGGCTCATGCCAAAATTATACACAGTGACCCAGAAAAATAAACTCCACAACTTCAAAGTCCCATAAGGAAATTATCAACTTTTCCCCCAAGTGCTTTCTTTTACAATAAATAAATTAACAATCTTCGCAGGAAGCAAAACCGTGAGAAACAATTCATTAAACATTTATTTTCCACTTAAAAGAAGTGGCTGTTTTTTTTTTTTTTTATTTTTTCTTTCAACCAAGAAGAGACCATATTGTGGTTTTTGAATGTTAGAAAAAGAATTTTTGTTTCGCTTACCCACAAATATGCTAATAAAATTATTATTACCACAAAAATGCTAATAAAATTAAAGTCTCTGTGACCATAAAAAAAAAAGGAAAAAGTGAAAAAAATTTGCAAAATATTTTTCTATTTTTCTAAAAATAAAAACACTTGATTTTTTTTTTATTTGTTCCATTAAAAAATTTAAACCCAATGGGAACAATTTAAATATCTAAAAAAAAGAAAATAAGTCACTGATCCCATACTATCTCCTTGTGATCCTTATCTTAGAAAAATATTGCATCAGCAAAATTCTAAAGATGAATACAGAAGAAAGAGGAATTCGAGTTCTGAATAATACAATATTCTAATTTAATATGACCGCAAAATTTGAATCTCACATAACCATTCCACTAATTCGGCGGATTTTTTTTTTAATGTCCTCTTAGAGAAGAAATAGAAACTTCCGGCTTTCAAATTCCAAAAGTTGATTCTCTTTTATTGCAAAAAATTGTATAAATTGTATAAATCAAAATAGATTTCTATTTTTTTCTCTCTCCCTTTTTTTAATGAAGCTTTAACATCTCTAGCAATAAAAATAGAACGCACTCCCTGGACATTTATTGGTTAACCAGTAAATCAATACAAGGATATGAATCTCAATATATTTTTTTTCTTCATTTTTAGAAATCATTAAAAATTTACCTCGAAACCTTTATCAAACATGACACATCGAAAAGGAAAAGGATGAGGAAAAGAAGGAAAAAAATTGCAGCCTTTAAGTTTATAAAAAAAAAACTGGGGCACGAGTCACTTAAGATGATGACATCGTTATACGAAAATAGCGAAGCGATATGTAAATTTTATGATATGATATTGCATTTTACAATGTTTAGGTCTAAAATGTATTATGTATATATGCTGAATGAGTAAATGAGTAAATATAATAATGTTGACAGAAGCAACGCCGAATGTGCGTTTGTGGCGCCAGTATTTTTATGCAATGCGTGGGCATATAAAGTAATTTAGCCAAGTCGCACTTTGACGATGAGGCATTTGTGCGAATTCGTTTGCATAATAATATAAGTAAAACTTTTTGCGCCCTGAGTCAGAGAATTTTTAATTCCTTCCGAGAAAAGGACAGTATACTATTTCAAATTGGGGCGTGTGTCGCTTCAGGATGAAAACTGTCAAAAGATTTTGCACCCACACTATTAACAGTGTTGCCACAAAAAAATTTATTTTATTTTTCCCTGACTTTTTCCTGACTGATTTTGATTTTTTCCTGACGCTAAACAATATTCTGATTCACACAAAAAATCACTAGATACTCAAAAAAAATTTCTACTATTATTAATTCTATTATTAATTTTATTTTCCCCTGAATTTTTCCTGCTTTCCAGACTTTTTCCTGACCCTAAATAATATTCTGATCCACTCAAAAAATCACTAGATACTCAAAAAAAATTTCTACTATTATTAATTCTATTATTAATTTTATTTTCCCCTGAATTTTTCCTGCTTTCCAGACTTTTTCCTGACCCTAAAGAATATTCTGATTCACTCTAAAAAACACTAGATACTCAAAAAAAATTTTCTATTATTATTTACGAATTTTCTTAATTGGAAAATAAATCGAAAACGTCAATAACTTCTTTTTTGAATAAATATTTAATCCTTATTATTTTTCCCTAAGAATTAAGATTTTCAAAAAATGTTAAATTCAAACTTTTATTAAATTCAACAACTTATAAGAAAATTATTATAGAACATGAAGACATCAATCACTCCGAGTCCTCGACTCGGAGTGATTGATATCTTCATGTTATATAATAATTAAAATTTCCATAAAATTTTTTAAACAGAAAATTTATATATTTACAAAGAAATTTAATAAAATCCTTCGCAAGAATTCAATTATTTTTACAAGTAATAAAATTTTTCACATGAATTCAATTATTTTTAAAAGTTAATAAAACTTGTTACAAGAATTGAATTTTAAGAAATAATTAATTATTTTTTGACAATAAATTGTTTTTTTATTTAAACAATTGAATTCTGGTGGAAAAATAATGAAATTCTTCGGTGAAAATAAAATATTTTCAAAATCTATTATTTCAATAAAATTTCTCTAAAAAATTTCAATTATTTAAAAAAAATGTAATAAAAATTCGTTCGCAAGAATTCAATTATTTTCATAAATTATAAAATTCTTCTCAGAATTTCAAATATTAAAAAAAATTTAATAAACATTCGTTTGCAAGAATTAAATTATTTTTACAAGTAATAAAATTTTCACATAAATTCAATTATTTTTGAAAAGTTAATAAAATTCTGTGCTGAATTTCAATTACTTTTAATATCTACTATTTTAATAAAATTTCTCAACAAAAATTGAATTATTTTCATAAATAATAAAATTTTTTGCAAGATTTCAATTATTTCTTAATACAATTTTAAATTTATTTCTCAAAAGAATTCAATTATTTTCACAAATAATAAAACTACTGAGAGGAATTCAATTACTTTAAAAAAGCATTATTAAAATTCGTTTCAAGAATTCAATTATTTTTAATATCTACTATTTTAATAAATTTTCTCATAAAAATTTTAATATTTTTTAAAAAATTATGATTTTTAATAAAATAAATCTCAGCGAAAATTCAATTACTTTCATAAATAATAAAACTCTTTAGAGGATTTCAATTATTTTTTTTTATACAATTTTAAATGAGTTTCACAAAAGAATTCAATTATTTTAACAGGTAATAAAAATTTTCAAAGAAATTCAATTACTCAAATAAAAAGAATTTTAATAAAACTTGTTACGAGAATTGAACTTTAAGAAATAATCAATTATTCTATCAATAATTTGTTTTTGTATTTAAACGATTGAATTCTTGTAGAACAATAATGAAATTCTTCGCTGAAATCCAAATCTTTTCAAAATTTACTATTTTAATAAAATTTCTCAAAAGAATTCAATTATTTAAAAAAATTGTAATAAAAATTCGTTCGTAGGAATTCAATTATTTTTTCATAAATAATAAAATGCTTTACAGGATTTCAATTATTTAAAAAAAATGTGATCAAATTTGTTGAAAGAATTGAATTGAATTCTTGAAAATAGTTATTTTCATAAATAATAAAATTCTTCACAGGATTTCAATTACTTTTATTACAATTTTAAGTAAATTCTTCGAAAAATTCAATTATTTTTAAAAATCAATGCTATTTAAATCAATTTTTATTAGAAAATTCGTTGAGAATTCAATTATTTAAATACAAAAATAAATAATTTATCGAATAATTTAATGTTTCTTAAAATTTTATTAAAATTTTTGAAAATAATTGAATTTTAGAGGAATAAAGTTCCAAAGTTGAAATATTTAAAAAAAAAATTTCCAAAGTACCGAAAATTCTTCAAATAATGTTCCAAATGTTTCTAATTAAAAGTTTCTAATGTGAAAAGGTTAACGTATTGCATTTAATAAAATTATTTCTAAAATATATTTATACTCAGTGTCCATAGATAATTTAAGTCACGACATTATCTACAAAATGACCTCAAATTATTATTAAACAGGAAAGGGAAGAATATTTTAATCGCGGTCTCTAATTGAATAAATAATTTAGCTACAAAAACAGGTTGTAAATTGGCAGGAATCGAAATTCCATTAGCAATATTCAAATACGATATGCAATATAAAAAAAATATTAAAAAATGAAAACAGCTACAAAGTTGAAAATAAAATTTCTGTGTTCATTTATTAAACATTTTCCTTCCTCGTGAAAATTTTTATTTTATGAATAATATCAGTTTTATTGCACTATTGCCATTCCCAGACATCGAACACTGTATTTAGAAATAAAAAATAGTATCGAAAGTGTCACAAAAAATTATATTAAAATTTTTCTTTTTATTTCTGTAGTAAATTAAAAATTTAATCAATATTTTTACCGAATGAAAAATTAAATTATTCTCAGAATAATATTATTTAATTAAAGAAAATTTCTTGAGGGAGAAATTTGTGGTTCAATTTCTCCACTTGAGAACGTCAAGGTCACCACCAGAGGGCAGTGAAAATTCCAAGAAGGAACTGAACTGCCATCTAGCGGTGACCTTGGCGTTCTCAGGTGGAGAACAGCGTCTCCATATTGAATCTCAAGATATTCGTTTATACTCGTAATTAGTTCATTATTTCTAATCAAACATTGAATTCAGAGAGTTTGACAATTAATATAAATGAATTTAAATTTTGAATTTACTTTAATTTGCTATTTTGATAGTCCTTTCAGGTTTATTTTTAGGCTTAGAATAAAGTCTACTAAGTAGATATTTAAAATAAAATAAAAATTAAAATAAAATCTCAGTTAAAATAATAGTGTCTTATAGTAAATTAATAAATAGTTAATGGCTTTTTTTAAAACAAAATTAGTGTTGTTAGTAACTTATTCAAAAAATAGTAGAGCCAAATAAATCAAGATCAAGATTACTCACGTCATAAACAACAACTTTGGTGACATTCCCAGCTTTTTGACACTCCGAACGAATGTCCTGTTGATATTCCAAGAGAAGAGACACTTCATGATCGAAATCTTCAGGCTTAAAGAGATTCTTGATAATTACAACTCGTTCACACTTTTGTGGTTGTCCAGGAAGTTGATCTGGTCGCCAATCAAATAATCTAATGGAAAAGAGAAAAACAATTTGAATTGTTAGAAATAAATTGCTAACGACAGAGTAGCATTTGAATTATTTTAATTCAAACAACTTATCTCGACTACGTTTCTTGCATAAAATTAATAAATTTAATAAAATTAATAAAATTAATAATTTATGAATAATAATGATAATGGTTTAGAAATGGTAAACTCCAATTATGATAAAATTGCTGTTTTATAGCCAAGTCAGTTAGTCCTTAGAACACAAATAAACAAAACTCTTTTAAAATTCAATTAATTTTGAGAAATTTAAGTAAAATTATTCATTAAATAATTAGTCGAGTTTAGAATCATCTTTACTTGTAATAATTTTTTGATAATTAGTTCTTTAAGAATTGAGTTATTTAAGAAAGAAATTGTCAGAAATAGAAAAAAATAAAATCATTGACTAATGAATATTTATTATTGACTAATGACTATTTATTATTGACTATAAATTACTATTTATTATCGACTTTATATTATTGACTAAAGAGCTAAAATAATAATTTTCCTTCCGCCCCTAATTGAATTCTTTTAAAGCGACGAAAGAAATGAAATCAACATCGATTGAAATTGATATTTTAGTTAACTGCAGTGAGAGTTTGATTACATATCTTTTTTTTTTTGATGAAACAAGTACATATTAACATAGGGAAAGAGAGAGAAAGAGAGATTTTCCTCTGATCTCCAAGCACTCTCTGTAACCTATAATCAATAACGATCCCTCGACAAATTATCCATAGCTATTCTCGCCTCGAGCAATTTCCAATGGTTTTCTCATACTTTGATTCAACGATCGTTTTATTATTTCTTTCTGTAACGGTATCAGTGACTTCTCGCGAGGAATATTTACTTTTCATTTTGCACAAGTATGTATATAAACGTGTCACTTGTGCGAATTTTGCGTCTTCTCTCATTTCAACTTGAAAATTAATGTAAAACAATCTCTCTCTCTCTCTCTCGACGATTTCACTTTTCCAAGAATAATGTTCAATTTTAACTTTAACGGTCATGTTTGAATTTCATGAATAAAATAAATAGAATAATAGTTGGGAGATAAAAGTTAATATTTTGATACTGTTATAATGAAAGTTTAATTTCTAATGGTGAATTTAATTTCTAATCTTTTTCTTGGGAGACAATTTAGCTCTATCCGTTAAGAAAATGGAACTCTTACATATTCATTAATCCTTTGGGCGGAATGATTCTTTTTTCGAATCTCTTTCTTCTCTGAAAGGCTCGTTAAGCTGCCGAAGGGCCAGAAATCAAGTTCGATGTACTTTGGCGAAAACCGGTCATTTAGAATTTTAAACTCTCTTTTATCTACCGGAAGTTTGATCTGCTATCGAATATTTCCGTCTATTTTTTTCGATTCTTAATTTAAATTCTAGAATAAAATTTAATTAAACTTGTTTGTCTTTTTTACTTTTTTTGAAATGTTTTGTTTTCTTTTTGAGGATATCACTTGTTATTATTTACACTTAGAAAATTAATAGACCTGCTTTGAAATTAGATCAGACGTTGATTGAGACACGCTTTAATGCGGAAACGATTAACGTCTAGCACCCCGCAATTTGCCTTGTGACCATGTAATTCACTTGAAAGCAATTTTTATTGCATAATATGCGGGGAAATTTACATATTCCGATATTAAAGATGACACTTGTGTGTAAATATTTCAGTGAACAAGTATATAAAATACGCGTCGCAATAAATGAGTAAAGTGTCATTTATATGAACAAGTGACAGGCTCTCAAATACGTCACTCTAAAAAGACATCTCTACATGGAAAGTACACGTTTTTCTAATTGCCAACACCTCACTAAATTTCCATTTTACGAGAAGTGTCCCATTCTTTTTTTCTCTCTCTCTCGAAACCTCGTTCCATTTGTTCACAATACTACTACTACTACTACTACTACTACTATTTTTTGTTATTTATTAGTTTTTTTAAATTCGATTTTAATTTAATTTATTTTAAATAACTTTTATCGAAATAAAGTTATTACTTATAAATCATTTAAAGTATTTTTTGAAAAATTTTAATTTCAATTCTGTTGAAATTAGTTTCAATTTTAATAATTTTAACGCAATTCTTTAAAAGAATCCAACTATTTTAATAAATATCAAAAATTTTTCTGGAAATTCAGTTATTTTCAAAAATTAAAAAAAAATTCTCGTCAACATTTCAATTATTTTTATAAATAGCAAAATTCTTTGTCGAAATTTAATTATATTCAGGAATTTTTATAAAATTCATTAAAAATTCAATTGTTTTCGTAAAAAATAAGATTCATCAGAAGAATTCAATTATTTTCGAGATTAGTAAAATTCTTCGCAGCAATTCAATTGTTTTCAAAAAATTTAAAAAAAATTGTCTTCAGCATTTCAATTATCTTTATAAATAACTAGCTAAATTCTTAGACAAAATTCAATTATTTTTACGAATTTTAAAAAAATTAATTGCAAAATTCAATTATTTTCAAAAATTTTAATAAAATTCATTCATCAACAAAATTAAATTAAATTTTTCACAGTAATTCAATTATTTTCATAAATAATAAAACTCATTGCAGAACAATAAATATCGAAATATGTCAAAAAAAATTCATAACTCGATCAATTCTCGACCAAATTCTTGTTTCTTGGTCGCAAATTAAAGAGGGATTAATGCTTTTTGTCATTGGACCAATAGGAATATGTTTAAAAAATTTTTGACAGCCAGCGTCCCCACCCGCCCGTATCAGAAAAACGAAAATTGAAAAAAAAGTTCAAAAAAAATTCATAACTCGATCAATTTTTGACCAAATTCTTGTTTCTTGGTCGCAAATTAAAGAGGGATGTATGCTTTTTGTCATTGGACCAATTAGACAATGTTTAAAAAATTTTTGACAGCCAGCGTCCCCACCCGCCCGTATCAGAAAAACGAAAATTGAAAAAAAAGTTCAAAAAAAATTCATAACTCGATCAATTTTCGACCAAATTCTTGTTTCTTGGTCGCAAATTAAAGGGAGATTAATGCTTTTTGTCATTGGACCAATTAGACAATGTTTAAAAAATTTTTGACAGCCAGCGTCCCCACCCGCCCGTATCAGAAAAACGAAAATTGAAAACAAAGTTCAAAAAAAATTCATAACTCGATCAATTTTTGACCAAATTCTTGTTTCTTGGTCGAAAATTAAAGAGGGATTAATGCTTTTTGTCATTGGATCAATAGGAATATGTTTAAAAAATTTTTGACAGCCAGCGTCCCCACCCGCCCGTATCAGAAAAACGAAAATTGAAAAAAAAGTTCAAAAAAAATTCATAACTCGATCAATTTTCGACCAAATTCTTGTTTCTTGGTCGCAAATTAAAGGGAGATTAATGCTTTTTGTCATTGGACCAATTAGACAATGTTTAAAAAATTTTTGACAGCCAGCGTCCCCACCCGCCCGTATCAGAAAAACGAAAATTGAAAACAAAGGTCAAAAAAAATTCATAACTCGATCAATTTTTGACCAAATTCTTGTTTCTTGGTCGCAAATTAAAGAGGGATGTATGCTTCTTGTCATTGGACCAATTAGACAATGTTTAAAAAATTTTTGACAGCCAGCGTCCCCACCCGCCCGTATCAGAAAAACGAAAATTGAAAAAAAAGTTCAAAAAAAATTCATAACTCGATCAATTTTTGACCAAATTCCTGTTTCTTGGTCGCAAATTAAAGAGGGATTAATGCTTTTTGTCTTTGGATCAATTAGACAATGTTTAAAAAATTTTTGACAGCCAGCGTCCCCACCCGCCCGTATCAGAAAAACGAAAATTGAAAAAAAAGTTCAAAAAAAATTCATAACTCGATCAATTTTTGACCAAATTCTTGTTTCTTGGTCGCAAATTAAAGAGGGATGTATGCTTCTTGTCATTGGACCAATTAGACAATGTTTAAAAAATTTTTGACAGCCAGCGTCCCCACCCGCCCGTATCAGAAAAACGAAAATTGAAAAAAAAGTTCAAAAAAAATTCATAACTCGATCAATTTTCGACCAAATTCTTGTTTCTTGGTCGCAAATTAAAGGGAGATTAATGCTTTTTGTCATTGGACCAATTAGACAATGTTTAAAAAATTTTTGACAGCCAGCGTCCCCACCCGCCCGTATCAGAAAAACGAAAATTGAAAACAAAGTTCAAAAAAAATTCATAACTCGATCAATTTTTGACCAAATTCTTGTTTCTTGGTCGAAAATTAAAGAGGGATTAATGCTTTTTGTCATTGGATCAATAGGAATATGTTTAAAAAATTTTTGACAGCCAGCGTCCCCACCCGCCCGTATCAGAAAAACGAAAATTGAAAAAAAAGTTCAAAAAAAATTCATAACTCGATCAATTTTTGACCAAATTCTTGTTTCTTGGTCGCAAATTAAAGAGGGATGTATGCTTTTTGTCATTGGACCAATTAGACAATGTTTAAAAAATTTTTGACAGCCAGCGTCCCCACCCGCCCGTATCAGAAAAACGAAAATTGAAAAAAAAGTTCAAAAAAAATTCATAACTCGATCAATTTTCGACCAAATTCTTGTTTCTTGATCGCAAATTAAAGGGAGATTAATGCTTTTTGTCATTGGACCAATTAGACAATGTTTAAAAAATTTTTGACAGCCAGCGTCCCCACCCGCCCGTATCAGAAAAACGAAAATTGAAAACAAAGTTCAAAAAAAATTCATAACTCGATCAATTTTTGACCAAATTCTTGTTTCTTGGTCGAAAATTAAAGAGGGATTAATGCTTTTTGTCATTGGATCAATAGGAATATGTTTAAAAAATTTTTGACAGCCAGCGTCCCCACCCGCCCGTATCAGAAAAACGAAAATTGAAAAAAAAGTTCAAAAAAAATTCATAACTCGATCAATTTTCGACCAAATTCTTGTTTCTTGGTCGCAAATTAAAGGGAGATTAATGCTTTTTGTCATTGGACCAATTAGACAATGTTTAAAAAATTTTTGAC